GACGCTACATACAGAGTCAGCATTTGATTATGGGGAAGTCGTGACAGGAGAGGAGAGGAAGATGGCAGCTATGGAGTCGAGTGGGCAGTTGCTTAGATGGAAGTGGTTAGAGCTAAAATGACCTCCTTCAAATACTGCACTGAAACACTGTGTGCTGCTTGCTGCTATTGAACTAAGAAAGAAGAGTCTGGTCAGAGCATTTCCTGAACGTTGGACACTGTCAGCCATGGCCCGGAGAGCTGCTGGGACGCAGCGCGTGGACTGGAGTCCCTGCTGAGAGTGGGAGGCATGGGTTCCCGGCAGGAGCCCCAGGGGCCTCCAGCATCACTGGTCTGATTTGCAGTCAGGCCGATGCTGCTGCTGGGACTCTGCCCTGTCCTCGCAGACACTGAGCCACCGGCCTGCGGCCTTCAAATGTCACTGAGGCTTTTTAGAACCTGCTTTCCTGTAGGAACTGTGCTGCTTACGATTCACATCTCCGTGGGTTTTAAGAAATGTAAGCTGGCTTTCTGGAGGGAAGCCTTCCTGAGCAAGGACGCGTCTGAATTTGATTCTCGGTACCTGTTTAGCCGGCACTCAGCTGCTCTCGGCCTCTGGCGCCAGTCCACGCTGCGCGTCACTCCCTCCCTCCCTCCGTGCATCCCCTGCGTGTGAAGGCACCTGCTGTCCCCTTGCAGAGCGTGCGTGCCATCCGCCCGCAGGGCGCTGGGTGCCGTCCCCTTGCAGAGCGCTGGGTGCCATCCGCCCGCAGGGCGCTGGGTGCCGTCCCCTTGCGGGGCGCTGGGTGCCGTCCCCTTGCGGGGCGCTGGGTGCCGTCCCCTTGCGGGGCGCTGGGTGCCGTCCCCTTGCGGGGCGCTGGGTGCCGTCCCCTTGCGGGGCGCTGGATGCCATCCCCTTGCAGGGCGCTGGGTGCCGTCCGCCTGCAGGGCGCTGCGTGCTGGTAGATTCTTGGTTGGAAATGGTTTGAAGAGTCAGAGATGCTGACAAAGCCCAGGAATCCCACGACTCACTTCCTGTCTTTACTTCAGACTTGGCGTAAGAACCCACCCTCAGAGACATTGCCGGGCCCCCTCTCAGCTCACATCCTGCCTTGGTTTTCTTCAAAGCACTTTTCTCCCACCGCCTCGGACTCCCCCCGGGGATTTAAGTTCCCTGATACCAGGGATGCTGTTTGTCCCTGGTTGTATCCATCCCCAGTGCCCAGCACATAGTCGGCAGTCGGGGTGTTCCAGTGTCGTGAAGGTTAGCCATTGTGCCAGATGCCCAAGGGACGGAAGGAAGTCCATCTCAGAAGTGGATTCGCTCTGTGCACACAGGTGGCTCTCCTAGAAGGCGGGTTCAGGGAACTAAGAGAACTGCAGGGAAGATGCCGGGGTATTTTAGAGATGGGTGCTTCTAGCTGACCTCTCAGGAATTGATATTGAGCCTGACCAGCATGGCTCAGTGGTTGAGTGTTGACCTTTGAACCAGGAGGTCACGGTTCATACTCCCAAGTTATCTGATTCAGAATCCCTCTGTGATATATTCTTGATCTTTTTTTTAATTTTTGAAACAGTAACAGTCCTTGTCAGCAATAGGTGAAGGCTCTCAAAGTGCAAACAGTAATGAGGAAAACAGTAATGGAGGTTAGGCATTAGCTCTTTACGCTCTGAATTATTTCAGTCAATTTTCAAAGCAGATTAATATTTATCAGTTTTTGTAGGTGCTTTCAGAAAAGAAATAGGAAACTAGAAAGAAACTAATGTGTTACAAGTACAAGAAGACAAGTATGAAAAGCTGAAGCTGATGTTGGGTTCTGGTGGGAAGATTTCAGCAGCATTTTGCAGAAAGTCAGGCTAGAGGCGGTCACTGTGGGGTCGCGTTTTATTCCGGGAAAGAGGCGGGGCCGATGATGACTCCAGTGTGGCACAAAATCAGGAGAATCTATCAAAGAGACTTTTTAAAAGAATATATATTTTATTGATTTTTTTACAGAGAGGAAGGGAGAAGGATAGAGAGTTAGAAACATCAATCAGCTGCCTCCTGCACACTCCCCACTGGGGATGTGCCCGCAATCAAGGTACATGCCCTTGACCGGAATCGAACCCGGGACCCTTGAGTCTGCAGGCTGATGCTCTATTCACTGAGCCAAACCGGCTAGGGCTCAAAGAGACTTTTTAGGCAATCACATTTGATCCTGAATTTACTTGAAATTTTGTAGTCCACTTATATGACAAGAATAGACTTTTGAATACATAACTACGAATTATTGAGGCAAGGGAAAGCAAGCAAGGGTAGTCAGTAGCTATTGGTGTATGACATTATCGAAATCATCTATATCTTGTTTTACCATTAAAGATAAAGATTATTGCTTAAGGACATACTAAAAGTTGGGATATTATCTGATGCGTTAAATTGATGCAGTGTGGCATCTTTATAATCACAGCATTAAACAGAGGTGACTACAATGAACTTACTAATTGTTAAAGTGGTAGTAGCGCGTGCACGTAGACATTTTTACATAGTTTGGATGTTAACGTTCCATTTTTGGAAACAGAGTTGTTTTTGTAAAACCTTTAGGGTCTGATTCAGTGAAAATATTGGTTAGGTCTGGATATTTAAATAGTCCTTTTTATTGATAATCCTATCTAATAAAAGAGAAACATGGTAATTGGCGTACGACCACTACCCTTCCCATTGGCCAATCAGGGCGATATGCAAATTAACTGCCAGCCAAGATGGCGGCCGGCAGCCAGGCACCTTAAACTGAACATGAAGCTTGCTTGCTTCAGTGACGGAGGACTCCAACGTTCCCCGCCTGCCTTGCCGGCCTCTGAGCTTGCAGTTTGAACATTGTAACAAATATAGAAGCTAAAAAAACCCCAGAAACCTGCTTTCAGCGGAGCCGGGATCTCAGAGCTGGAGTTGATACAGAGTTTCGATTATAGAACCTAAACAAACCAGATACCTACTTTCAGCAGCTGAGGCCTCAGAGCTGGAGCCAAGCCTCAGAGCTAAAGCTGGCCCAGAATAAAAAAAAAAAAAAGAAAAAAGGAGTGGTTGGGAGCTTCAGTCCCAGCCTGAAAACAGCCCTCAGCCCCTCACCCAGGCTGGCCAGGCACCCCAGTGGGGACCCCCACCCTAAAGGGTGTGTGACCAGCTGCAAACAGCCATCATCCCCTCATCCAGGCTGTCCAGGCACCCCAGTGGGGACCCCCACCCTGATCCAGTACACCCTTCAGGGCAAACCAGCCAGCCCCCACCCATGCACCAGACCTCTATCCTATATAGTAAAAGGGTAATATGCCTCCCAGCACCGTGATCAGCGGAGCCGCGAGGCCTCCCGGCACCGGGATCAGTGTGATGGGGCAGCGCCCAAACCCCCTGACCGCCCTGTGGCTCTGTGTGTGACAGGGGGCAGGGCCACAGCCTCCCTATCGGCCCTGCTCTGTGCCTGATAGGAGGGAGCTCCCCAACCCCCTGATCCACCCTTCTCTGTGCATGACAGGGGGGAGCTCCCCAACCCCCTGATTGGCCCTGCTCTGTGTGTGACAGGGGGTGGCGTCGCAACCTCCCCATCGACCCTGCCTTGAGTGTGACAGGGGGCGGTGCCCCAACCCCCCAATCGGCCCTACCCTGAGCGTAACTGAGGGTGGCATCGCAACCTCCCGATCCACCCTGCTCTGTGCATGACAGGGGGCGGTGCCCCAACGCCCCAATTGGCCCTGCTCTGAGCCCGACCAGGGGCTGCACCTAGGGATTGGGCCTGCCGTCTGCCACCCGGGAGCAGGCCTAAGCCAGCAGGTCGTTATCTCCCGAGGGGTCCCAGACTGAGAGGGCACAGGCTGGGCTGAGGGGCGACCCCCCCCCCCCCCGAGTGCACAAATTTTTGTGCACCGGGCCTCTAGTTTTATTATAATTTTCTTACCCAGAATAGCTTATGCAAAGCAGGAAATAATACATTTTGTTTTTCTAACATGTCCTTTCTCTTATAAATTGAGTGGTTAGTATAGTAGTGTACACATTCTTTTTTTCTTTTTTTTTTTAAATTACATTTATTGGGGTGGCATTGGTCCACATGAACATACAGGTTTCAGGTGTGGGTTTCTATGTGCCAAGATCTGTGTATTGCGCTGCGTGCCCACTTCCCAGAGTCAGATCCCCTCTCACCATATAGTCGGACCCCTCCTCCCCCACGCTTCCCTCTGGCAACCACCACACTGCTGTCTGTGCTCAGGAGTTTCAGTTTCACATCCCGCACATGCTGGACATCATGTTATTCTTAGCTTTTTCTGACTGAATTGTCTCACTTAGCATAATGTTCTCAAGTTCTTATACTCATTTATTTGTTGAATTCTCTTATATGTCATCATAAAAAAGTAAATTTGTTAGTTTATGCTCAGAGCTATTAGGCCTGTTTAACTTAAGATTCAAAGCCTTAAAATATATCACTGTTAATTTTTTTCTTATTTACTACACAGCATCTATTTGAGTGGAGGGAACAATGGATGTAGTAGATTCAACAGTCTTTCTGCCATTATGTATCTTTCATATGATGTTAAGGGAAACAGTTTCTGAAGTCCTTCTTCAAACAAAGATAATCTCATGGAGTGTAGCTGGGCCTTGAGTAACGCAGGGGTTAGAGGTGCCTAAGAGCATACTCCCCAAAATGTACCAACTCCTGCTCTGACCAGAAGCCTGACTGATAGCAGTTAATTCGCACATACTTTGTCTATTATGTATTGGATGCTGTATTCTTACAATAAAGGAAGCTGGAGAATAGAAAACATTAAGAAAACCATGAGGAGGAGAAGCACACTTACCTCCCACGTACGTGGACGTACGCGGCGGTCCAGGGCCAGCTGTGTTTCGGATCATCAGCTACGCATTCCTTTCTCTCTTCCCACACTTTCTGTATCTTCAATAACGCTGGCGGGAAGTATATTTGAAAGGGGTGTTTATAAATGTACTTTCACGGTCATTTGTGCAGAGTTGATCATTGTACTTCTGATCATTTGCAGGCGAAACCTGACCAAACTGTCCCTGATCTTCAGCCACATGCTGGCCGAGCTGAAGGGCATCTTCCCCAGCGGACTGTTCCAGGGCGACGCGTTCCGCATCACCAAGGCGGACGCCGCCGAGTTCTGGAGGAAAGCCTTCGGGGAAAAGTGAGTCTCGGAATCATGAATGTTAACTGTGAAGAACTGAAGCTTGTATTGGGAGTTTTTTATTAATGAAATGTTTAAAACATGGGAAAACAGTAAAATAATGACTGTTTGTAAATATTATCCAGCTTTGGTAAATATTAACATCCCCCCTTCCTTTTTAAAAAAATTATATTTTTTTTGTTGATTTCAGAGAGGAAGGGAGAGGGAGAGAGAGATGGAAACATCAATGATGAGAGAGAATCATTGATCGGCTGCCTCCTGCACGCCCCACACTGGGGGTCAAGCCTGCAACCCAGGCATGTGCCCTGACCAGGAATGGAACTGTGACCTCCTCGTTCACAGGTTGATGCTCAACCCCTGAGCCACACTGGCGCCCCCCCCCCCTTTTTTTTTCTTAAAGAAATAACCTGTGAAGATTCAGGTGAAACCTATGCTCTTTGGTGAACTTCTCTTCCTCTCCCTATCCATTATGCTTTTAACTGACATTCACACTTCAAACTATTTGCTGTTGCCAACAGTTCCGCGTGAATAGAATTGTATTTGTCTTCAGATGCAAGAGCTTGTCCATATTTTCAGACCTGGGGGTGGAATTGCCGAGTTGGGGTTTCACATCTTCTGCTTGGCCAAGTATTGCCTAATTGCTTCCCAAAGAGGCCGTGGCAGTTTCTTCCCTGACAGGAGTGTGCATGAATTCCAGGAGTTCGCACTGGGTCTAACACCAGCAGTAGGAATTGGTATCATAGTTCGCTTTCTGTTCATGAGAGACTGAGCATCTTTTCACATTTACGACTGGTCGGATTCTTACTCTGACTTGCCTGTTGCTCTTCCTGACGTCTCCACTTTCCTATTGAGTTGTCTTTTTCCTGTTGTAAGGTACTAATTCTTTATTAATCACAAATATGTTCTCCTAGTGGTCTATGGCTGGTCTTTCTATTTTGTTATATTGTTTTTTGAAACAGAAGTTTAAAATTACATAGACAGATTAATGAGTCACGCTTATGTTTTTACCTTAATATAAATGTTCTTATAGATCTGAAATTTTGGATCAAAAAACTGAAAAAGGTAGAAAAGCAATGAAAGTTTTTAGTTGAATATATAGATCCTAACGTAAGTCTCTTTAAATGCTATTTTTATTTTTTTAAATTGTGTTTACATATAAAATATAGAATAATCACAACTTAAAGCACTTAGTTGAAGAGAATGTGAATAAGTTTACTTTGTTCCTTTAACTTAATTAATAACTACATTAGAAAAGAGATCCAAACGCTACTTGTTTTTTCAGGCAAGCAAATACATACGCTTCTCAAAGGCTTTGTTTTAAAGATCGTAAGGAAGAAAAATCGCATCATAGCTCTTGCTAGCCCTGTCTGGGGTTTAATCAGCCTTATACTAAGTTCAGCAGCTCCTCTCTCATCTCTATGAGAACTCAGCTCTTCCTGCACCTCCAGCCTGTTTCCTCCTGTCTAAGCCTTGATGGTGTGGTTCCTCAAGGAACTCATCATGTTTTACATGGTTTTAAAACGTCAGCTTAATCACAAGCTTTCTATTAGTGCAGTTTGGGCCATTGTCTAATAGAACGAATGAAGAAAGATGAGAAAAGAGATTAATTTGTGACATTCTGTTAAAGAACAGTGGAAAAAGACTTGTCTGTTGTTAAGTTACTCATTTGACATTTAAGAAATATATCATTTACCCCCTTTCTGTTCTCAATCCAAAATATAGCTCCACTTTAAGAGAATTGAAATCGATATTGAGAGCTTAACGTGGCTCTCTTTCCTTGATTATAGCATTGCCCAGAATTATCTGTTACCTCACTCTGCCTTCTCACCCCACCCCCCAGGACGATAGTCCCTTGGAAGAGCTTCCGACAGGCCCTCCATGACGTGCATCCCATCAGTTCTGGGCTGGAGGCCATGGCTCTGAAGTCCACTATCGATCTGACCTGCAATGATTATATTTCAGTTTTTGAATTTGACATCTTTACACGGCTCTTTCAGGTAGGATATTAAAAAGTTGGTTAAAGTAGTTATTGCTGCTTTTCTGAAGAGAATGCTTTTTAAAATAACATTTGAGATTTTACCTATTATAAACGTATTTTTACTTATTCTAGAAACTATAAGCAAAAAAGATTAGAATTACCTTGCATTTCATAGCTGTATATAAATATGTATATACGGTATTTTTTGTTAAAAATAATAACTATACAGTCTGCTTTCTTACCTTGACATTTATCATCTTTCTTTGCTATTAAGTAATTTTTTTGCATCAGTTTCATGGTTGTAGAATGTGCAGAAAATGGGTATACAGTCACTTGCTACATAACAACAGGGATTTGTTCTGAGAAATGCTTGTTAGTCAGTTTTATCCTTGTACAAACATCATAGCATGCACTTACACAGCCCTGAGTGGCAGAGCTACTGCATACCTCGGCCGAATGGTATAGCCTGCTGCTCCGAGGCTGTAAACCTGTACAGCATGTTACTGTACTGAATGCTGTAGGCAGTTGTAGCACAGTGACTAAGCATTTGTGTATCTAACCATAGAAAAGGTACAGGAAAACTACTGTATAAAAGATTTGCAATACGGAACACCTGTACAGGGCACTTCCCATTAATGGAGTTTGCAGGACTGGGAGTCATTGAGTGGGTGGTGAGTGAATGTGAAGGCCTAGGACATTACTATATACTGCTGCACACTATAAACACTGTACACTTAGGCTGCATTAATTTATAAAACAACACTAGAGGCCTGGTGCACGAATTCGTGCACCAGTGGGGTCCCTTTGCCTGGCCTGCGGGGATCAGGCCGAAACTGGCTCTCTAACATTCCCCAAGGGGTCCCGGATTGTGAGAGGGTGCAGGCCAGGCCGAGGGACCTCACCAGTGCACGATTGGGTCCGGGGAGGGACCACGGGAGGTTGGCAAGCTGGGGAAGGACCACGGGAGGGCTCTAGGGTATGTCCGGCCCGTCTCGCTCAGTCCCAATCAGCTGGACCCCAGCAGCAAGCTAACCTGCTGGTCGGAGCGTCTGTCCCCTGGTGGTCAGTGGGCATCATAGCGACAGGTCAAATGGTCCAAGGGTCAGACACTTAGCATATTAGACTTTTATATATATAGATGAGGCTAGATAAAATGTAAGAGAAAATGATGCATTTAAAATATGTAGTAAACAAAAGATGTATGGGGCTGCTGCCAGCATGCCCGGGTTGCAGGCTCCATCCCCAATGTGGGGTGTGCAGGAGGCAGCTGATCAATGATTCTCTCTCATCATTGATATTTCTCTCTCTCTCTCCCTCTCCCTCTCCCTTCCTCTCTGAAATCAATTAAAAAATATATATTAAAGAAAAGAAAGGTACATTCTAAAATGACAATAAAAAATTTAGTAGAAGCCAGTAAGATAGTCATTTGTTATTAGCAGATATTACGTGCTGTAACGGTGTGTGTGCTGTACTTCTATGTGACTGGCAGCACAGTAGGCGTGCTTACACCAGCATCGCCACAGACACGTGAGTGATGCGGTGCATTACAATGCTAGGGTGGCTGTGATGTGACTAGGTGACAGGACTTTCTTGCTCCGTTATAATCTTAATGGGACTACCATGGTATATGGGGTCAGTCATGCCAAAACATTAATATGTGGTGCATGACTATAATGTGACATATTGAATGAGTTCTCTGTTAGTGGAGAGTTACATATGTTTCCAACTTTCCTCCTATTGTATTGACATTCTTGACTGTTAATATTGAGATGTAATGATGCCTCAAGAAGAACTCATGTTTTCTTTCCTAAAGATAATGTGTGTGTGTGCCATCTGCATAACCTGCATGTGGAGCTTCTTGGTGGCACAAGTAGTCCCTGCCTTGTTCTCTTCTTTGGGTTCTTGTGGTCTAACCTCACGACTGTTAGTTGGAACTGCTTTAAAGTGTTTTAAATTTTATTTTGTAAAGTTAAGTTTTTCCTATACGGATATATTTGTTTCTTTTTAGGTTTTAACAGTTCTTATCTTCCAAATACATTTGTCTTTCCTCAAAGTGACAATATGATTGAAAATTTGTGACAATAAATGGGGATTTGTAATTGAGAATTGAGGTTCTCTGTCACTCTGAGGAGGGCCATATGTCTTGAGCCAAATGGTGCGATTGATCTCTTGTTTCCTTAGCCCTGGTCCTCTCTGCTCAGGAACTGGAACAGTCTCGCTGTGACTCACCCTGGTTACATGGCTTTCCTGACATATGATGAAGTAAAAGCTCGGCTCCAGAAATTCATTCACAAACCTGGCAGGTCAGTGCCATGAGTCAAAGAGGCTCATTCTCCTGGATGTTATTTTCTGGTGGCCTTTGTTAAAATAGAAAAAATATGACCTTTGATTAGTTCCCCAATGGCCGTGTTTCTGCAGATTGATGCCTGTTTATCAGAGGGATTGACTCATTCAGATCTGATGGTTTGATAAATGCTTTCAATCTACTTCAGAATTGGGCTTATGTGTCTTTGCTTTTTGGTCTGGAGTCATTGAAGATGCTTTTATTGGTGGTGTTTTTTGTTTTTATCCCTGTTTTACCGTTTACCCTAATATGAACTTACCATGTCTTAAAGATTCTGTTTACCTCTATTCTCAGTTACATATTCCGGCTGAGCTGTACTCGTCTGGGTCAGTGGGCTATTGGGTATGTCACTGCTGATGGGAACATTCTCCAGACAATTCCTCACAACAAGCCTCTCTTCCAAGCACTGATTGATGGCTTCCGGGAAGGCTTGTGAGTACCTGCTGTTTGCCGTCTGCCAGGGTCTGGGAACTGAGGGCCTGTAAAACCTCATCATTAATGACTGTGATGGGTTCCTTATACAGATGAAAATTCAGGAAACGTTTCAACAGATGATATTGTTGTGACCTCAGGTTTCGAGGACTTCTGTTTTTACTTAAAAGGAATTGGATGAAATTACTTTTCTCTACCGCTTCACTATTACTATGAGCAAACTTTATCTTTTTCCTTTTCCAAATGTTAACTTATTTTCAAGTCTATGTTAGATTTAAAATCATACCAATTAGCAGAAAATGTTAGCAGTTATTTAACTAGCCACAGATGTTTGTTCTAATGTCACCAGGCTCAGGGGCCTTCACCCTGACTGCACTTTGGTTCAGCAGCATTTCTCCAGGCTCTGGGCTTTTGTAATGTATGCTGATACTTATGGTTACGTTCTTATTTATTCCAGAATTGCTATTCCTTTGGGAATTTAAATAGATTATAATTTGGTAAGTACTGAAAGTACCAATGTTGACTAGGTATCAGAAAACTACTTGTATTTAAGGTAATTATGCATCATCTTCTATAGTAGCATTGGAGCTTTACCAAATGCCAGAGCAGTTTGAGTCTAGAAGCTTCCTGGTAGATGATCTCAAGTGGCTTAATTTGTTTCTTGTTACATTTCTTTTAAGTTGGTGTCTCTCAGTGTTAAAATCTGTAAACAAGGGTATTTTAGGTGTTTGGTCAAAAATACGTAAATACAGTTTGGAGAGTCAATCTAGATGGCGATGTAGGTAAATGTGGTACTTGCCGCCTCCCACAACCACATCAAAATTACAACTAAACTACAGAACAATCATCATTCAGAACTGTCTGAAATATGACTGAGTAAAAGTCCTACAGCTAGTTAATTAAAGAAGAAGCTACATTCAGATTGGTAGGAGGGGCGGAGGCACAGAACAGGCTTGTCTGACACCTGCGTGTGGCTTTTTTTTTTTTAATTGGGAGGGATATCTTGGCTGTGGAGGTCTCCCGTGAGGAGATAAGGGTCAAAGACCCATCAGCCCAGGGCTCCAGAGCTGGGAAGAGAAGTCCCTATAACTTCGGGCTGTAAAACCAGCAGGGGAAAAGTAAAAAAAAAAAAGAAAAGAAAACCAGCAGGGATTGTGACTGAGTGACATGAGGCTGGGGGAGACCCAGGCATTTCCTCTTAAAGGACCTACACATGGACTTAACTGACTCACTCCCTCTGAGCTCCAGCACTAGGGCAACAGCTTTTTAAAATTTATTTTTTATTTTTTATTTTTTTAAAATATATTTTTATTGACTTCAGAGAGGAAGGGAGAGGGAGAGAGAGATAGAAATATCAATGATGAGAGAGAATCATTGATCAGCCATGGGGCAACAGCTTGAAAGGATCCAGGGACATATGGGAAGGAACTAAATTGTCTGGTATTAGGGTAAGAACTTGAAAGCAGCGTTCTACCAGACAAAAGGGCTGGCAGAGGTCATTGAACCTTTTCTGAGACCTCCCTGCCACATTGCCGACAGGCAGTCACCAGATATGAGTCTGCATCAACTTGGCACATACTATTCGCCCTGCCCTGGTGATTCCCTGAGACCCAGACCCACCAAATTTGCAGCCCCACCCAAGCTGTTTGCAGTGGCTTTTCCATATCAATGGCCAGACGTGGCTCAGGCTTCAGACTTTAACTAAAATCTCTCAAACAAGCAGCAGCTGGCCTCAGTGTGCCCCATTACTCTTGATAAGTGACCTCAGGCCTGGCACTAGCAGCAGCCTGCCTTGGTTCACAGCTTGCCCTCTCCTGATGCTTCTAAGCTCAACACAAGTAGCAGCCATCTGTAGATTGCTCTGTAGCTCCTGCTGGGTGGCCCCAGGCAGTGAGATTTTGCATCTCCCAGGAGGCCCCAGAGCCAGTGCATCCTGTGGACAGCTTCAGACCACACCAGATTACAACTCTACACATCCACCAGCAACACACTCAAGAGGCAGACTCAGTGAGCACCAAGCCCCACTGAAGCAAGTCCTGCTCCATAGGGTGTCTCCTTCACAACAGCTCTTCCATTGTAGTCACAGCTGGTCCTCACAGCCAATTGGCCTGGAGGTCAATTCCTCTCAGTGACGCCAACAGCAATCAAGGCTCAACTATGATGAGACTGTGCACACAGCCCACATAGGGTGCACCTAGAGTGCCCAGCTCAGGTGACTAGGGAGGTTAAGCCACTGGGCTCTACAGGACACCTATTACACAAGGCCACCCTACCAATTCCAGGATACATAACAGCTCTACTTAATGCATAGAAACAAACACAGGGCGGCAGCCAAAATGTGAAGACAAAGAAACATGTCACAAATGAAAGAACAGAAAAAAATCTCCAGAAAAAGAACTAAATGAAATGGAAGCAAACAAACTACTAGATACAGGGTTCAAAATAGTCGTTATAAGGATGCTCAAAATCATACTGAGAACTTCAAGGAATTTAGTGAGAACATCAAAGACATAAAAAAAGACTAGTCAGAAATTAAAGATACACTAACTGAAATGAAGAATAATTTACAGAAAATCAACAGTAGAGTAGAAGATGCCAAGAATCAAATCAGTGATTTGAAATATGAAAAAGCAGAAAATACCAATCAGAACAGCATTAAAAGAAAAGAATCCAACATTCACATCATGGAGGTGCCATCCTGGAAGGAGAAGAGAGGGAGCAAGAAATTGAAAACCTATTTGAAAAAATAATCAACAAACTTCCCCTACTTAGTGAAAGAAATAGACATACAAGTCCAGGAAGCTCAGACAGTCCCAAACAAGATAAACCCAATGAGGCCCAAAAGAGAATTTAAAAGCAGCAAGAGCCAAAACTGGTTTGGCTCAATGGATAGAGCATCGGCCTGCGGACTGAAAGGTCCCAGGTTCGATTCTGGTCAAGGGCATGTTACCTGGGTTGCGGGCACATTCCCAGTGGGAGATGTGCAGGAGGCAGCTGATCGATGTTTCTCTCTCATCGATGTTTCTAACTCTCTATCTCTCTCCCTTTCTCTCTGTAAAAAAAAATCAATAAAATATATATTTTTTTAAAAAAAGTAAAAGCAGCAAGAGAAAAGCAGTTAGTTACCTAAAGGAGTGCCAGTTGATTTCTGGCACCCACGGGGAGTGGGCCTAAGCTATCAGTTGGACATCCCCCGAGGGCTCCCAGACTGCTAAAGGGTGCACCCCCTCCCACCACCACCACCACCACCAGTGCATGAATGTCATGCACTGGGCCTCTAGTAAATACATATCTATCAACAATTGAATCTAAAAATCAAAATAAATGAACAAGGAATCTAATGAACAAAATAAACTGATGCATAAAATAGAGGCATGGAAGCATGGAACAGACTGATTAATCTCAGAGAGAAGGGGTGAGGGGAGGCGGGAAGAGATTAAACCAAAAAAACTTAAAAGCATACATGCATTACCCAAGATCACAGATAACAGGGTGGTGAAGGTCAGGGTGGTATGGGATCCAGGTGGAGTGGGGGGGAAGGCTTAGAGGGGGGCATCTGTAATATTCTCAACAATAAAGATTTTTTAAAAAGCAAATGCAATTTAAATTAAGAATTTATACTTTGTGGCTATCCATAGATTAAAATAGGGGTTGGCAAACTGGCACATAGGCCAGCTGTTTTGTGTCTAAGATACTTTTTAAAGTGTTGTTAAAACACACACACACACACACACACACACACACACATACACACACACACACAAAAGAATATGTGACTTTATCGCTTGCAAAGCCTAAAATATTTACTGTCAGGCCTTACAGAAAAAGTTTGTCGCCCTAGCCAGTTTGGCTTAGTGGATAGAGTGTGAGCCTGTGGACTGAAGGGTTTGATTCCAGTCAGGGGGACATGCCTGGGTTGTGGGCTCCATCCCCAATGGGGGGCTTGCAGGAGGCAGTCAATCAATGATTTTCTCTCATCATTGATGTTTCTATCTCTCTCTCCCTCTCCCTTCCTCTCTGAAATCAATAAAAAAATATTAAAAAAAAAAAGTTCGTTAACTCCTTGATTAAAAGGTGGGACCTGTGGCAATGTGCCCTGGAGAAAGAATATCAGTTTTAGGAGAATATTTTCTTGGAACTTTTCTGTGTTCTTTATTTTTTTTGAAGTATTAGTAAGATTTATTCTTGCATTTTTTGCAAAGTCGCCCTTTGACAATGAGGGAATTCCTAAATGCCATCTGTTATGTTAGCTAGCAGTTATAAATTGACTTCAGTAAAGTCACAGGCTGCTTACTTCTCTCACAGCTATTTGTTTCCTGATGGACGGAATCAGAATCCCGACCTGACAGGCTTGTGTGAGCCGACGCCCCAAGACCACATCAAAGTGACTCAGGTGAGTTTTGTTGACATGGTAACCATATCTCTAGAATCAAGCTTTTATATGGACTTATTAGAGCTGGCAGGAGAATTGTATTAAGTGACTGGAACACTTAAATTTTAAACCGTTGACTAGATAGTGAATTTATGTTCCATGTGATTTCTCTTTGAACCATGCAGCTTAAAGTAGGACCAAGACTAGGGAATTTCTTTGTTATGGGAGAACATTGACCACTGATGTGAAATTATTATACAAGCAAAATTTGTATACATAGTAATGGTCTTTAATATTTCCGTTTTTAGCATTTATGGTTGCATTCATTCATTCATTCATTCATTCATTCATTCATTCATTCAACAAATACCTGAAATAGGCTGAATAACTGTTTTTTTTCTTTGTTTTAATCAAAGGAACAATATGAATTATACTGTGAGATGGGCTCCACATTCCAACTGTGTAAAATATGTGCCGAGAATGATAAGGATGTGAAGATCGAGCCCTGTGGACACCTCATGTGCACGTCCTGTCTTACGTCCTGGCAGGTGTGGATCCAAATCATGCCTTTTCTCAGTTGTGTGGTCCTTCTGAAGAGTTGGGGGTTGTATGTAAAGGATGGCTTGGTGTGTGGGGTAGAGTAACTTTTCCTTTCTGTTTTCAAATGTATTTCCTAGTGGATGAATATTTTAAGTAGTTTCGGATGTGCCTGTCACCATCTCCTGTCTCCTCTGCAGGAATCAGAAGGCCAGGGCTGTCCTTTCTGCCGATGTGAAATTAAAGGTACAGAGCCCATTGTGGTAGATCCGTTTGATCCGAGAGGAAGTGGCAGCCTGTTGAGGCAAGGAGCAGAGGGAGCTTCTTCCCCAAATTATGATGATGATGATGATGAACGAGCTGATGATTCTCTCTTTATGATGAAGGAATTAGCTGGTGCCAAGGTAAGTCTGCAATTTAATAACCTGTGGCCAACTCCACTGTGAGTTGTAATCTAAAGCTATAGAACACATAATGGCATCCAAACTACGAGGAGCAGTACTAGCTAATATTTATTGAACATCTGATGTCAGAGACACCATGCTAAACACTATTCTGATTTTAACTCATATAACCCAATAAGTAAGGACTATTATCCTCATATAACACATGAAGAAACTGAGGCACAGAGATTAAGGAATTTGCTGAAGGTCACGCAGATAGTAAGTTGAACCAGAATTGGTGGCCAGGCATTTTGGCTTCAAGGCCCATGTTCTCTTACTGTCTATATCCTAAACTTGGGCTAGGATATAGACAGGAGGGGAATAAAAGAATGAAGGGGAAAATGAAGGGGAATAAAAGAATTGGACCTTGTTTTGCTACTGTGACTAGAGTATATTGCTCTTGTCTTTTCTCTAATGGAGTCTTGTCGTTACAACGTTAGGCTTGATGGGGAGAATGATGTACTGTTAATAACCAAATAAATGGCAAGTGAAGTGATTGGAGGGTGGTAGGAGGTACCATGTAAAATCTAACTGGAATTAAAACTAAATTGGGGAATATTAACCCTGAAATACCAGCTGAAGACTGGCGGAAGAGCCTTTATACAAGGAAGGGTGGGAACCACCTTGAGACTGCTGGGAAGGATGGCACTAGCCCAGCTCTCAGGAGCAGACCTAAGCTGCAGTCAGACATCCTTAGTGCTGCTGAGGAGGCGGGAGAGGCTCCCACCACCATCGTTGTGCTGGCAGCCATCAGCCTGGCTTGTGGCTAAGCAAAGCTCCCCCTGTGGGAGCGCACTGACCACCAGGGGACAGCTCCTGCATTGAGCATCTGCACCCTGGAGGTCACTGTGTGTCATAGTGACCAGTCATTCCCAGTCATTCTGCTGTTGGGGCCAATTTGCATATTACCCTTTTATTATATAGGATAGAGGCCTGGTGCACGGGTGGGGGCCGGCTGGTTTGCCCTGAAGGGTGTCCCGGATCAGGGTGGGGGTCCTGCTGGGATTCTTGGCCAGCCTGGGTGAGGGGCTGATGGGTGTTTGCAGGCTGGTCACACCCTCTTCAGAGTGGGGGTCCCCACTGGGGTGCCTGGCCAGCCTGGGTGAGAGGCGGATGGCTTTTTGCAGCTGGTCACACCCCCTTCAGGATGGTGGTCCCCACTGGGTTGCCTGGCCAGCCTGGGTGAGGGGCTGGAGGCTGTTTGCAGGCTGGTCACATCCCCTTCAGGGTGGGGGTCCCCACTGGGGTCCCTGGTCAGCCTGGGTGAGGGGCTGGTGGCTGTATGCAGGCTGATCACACCCCCTTCAGGGTGGGGGTCCCCACTGGGATCCCTGGCCAGCCTGGAGGGGCTGATGGCTGTTTTCAGGCTGGTCAAGCCCCCCCACCCCAGTGGGGACCCTCACCCCATGGAGGTTTGGCTAGCCTGGGTGAGGGGCTGATGGCTGTTTTCAGGCTGGCCACACCCCCTTTAGGGTCGGGGGGTCCCCACTGGGGTGCCTGGCCTATCTGGGTGAAGGGCTGAGGGCAGTTTTCAAGCTGGCCAAGCCCCCCGGCGGCAGAAGCTCCTAGCCTCTCCTTTTTTGCTTTTTTTTTATTCTGGGATTTATTTACCTTCTATAATTGAAACTTTGTAGCCTTGAGTGGAGCTCAGAGCCGGCCAGGGCGGGGCGGGAAGCTTGGCTTCCTCCATCGCCAGGGGCAACCCAAGCCTCCTGCTCACTCCAGCTCCGTGGCCACAGCCGGCTGAAAGCAGGTATCTGGGGTTTATTTATCTTCTATAATTGAAACTTTGTTGCCTTGAGTGGAGCTCAGAGCCGCCGTGGCAGGCGGGAAGCTTGGCTTCCTCCATCACTGGGGCAACCAAGCCTCCTGCTTGCTCCAGCTCCGTGGCTGCCAGCCGCCATCTTGGTTGGGTTAATTTGCATATAATCGCCCTGGTTGGCTGGTGGGCGTGGCTTAAGTCGTGGCAAAGGTACAGTCAATTTGCATGTTTGTCTTTTATTAGTGTAGACTATTTCTTTATATTTCTTTTTCACTTACTATTCTTGTTCTCTTTCTTAATATTCTTTTGAGGTTGTTTTTGATGTTGTTGTCAGGTTCATTTGTATGTTTTTGTTTGTTTCTTGTTTTGTTTTGTCCTATACAACAGCTTGCACAACATGGTGTGGGTGGAGCCTCAGAGCCAGCTTGAGAGGAGATCCCACCCACAAACTGGACAACAGCAGTCAAAACCTAATGCAACAGTAGAGCCCAAATACCTCACGAAAAGGTTATTCCTAGAGCATTCAGCTCAGGAGTTCAAGGAGACCACACTACAGGGTCCCACAGGATATTTACTATAAAAAGACCACCCCACAAAGACTGGGAGTCATAGCTAGTATATTTAATACATAGAAACAAACACAAAGAGACAACTAACAAGGAAGATAAACAACCAACCCTCAAATGAAAGAAAAGGAGAAATCTCCAGAAAAACACTGAACTGAGATGGAGGTAAGCAATTTATCAGAGTTCAGAGTAATGGTTATAACAGTGCTCAAGGAACTTAACAGAACTACAAGGAATTTAATGGGAACTGTAAGGAAATTCGTGGGAACTACATCAGCATGAAAAGGACATAGAAACCATGAATAAGAACGAGTCAGAAATGAAGAATACTAAATATGACAACTAAATCTGTCACACATATGACACTGAAAGGTATTAAAAGCAGGCTTGGTGAAGCAGAGGGTAGAATCAGTGATTTGAAAGAGAAGATAGGAAAAAGCAATTACAGCAGCAAAAAGAGAAACACTTAAAATGCATGAGAAGAGTTTAAGGGAATTTTACGATCCTGTGAAATGGAATAACATCTGCATCATAGTGGTACCAGAAGGAGAAGAATGTGAACAAGGGATGGAGAAACTGAAGAAAATGACAGAGCCCTGGCCAGTGGCTCAATGATTAGAACATTGGCCCCCACACCAAAGGGTCATGGGTTCAAATCTCAGTCAAGAGCATATACCTGAGTTGCAGATTCTATCCTAGTTCCTGATCGGGGCACGTGTGGGAGACAACCAATAGATGTTTCTCTCTCATCACTGTTTGTATCCCTGTCCCTCCCTTCTTCCCTCCCTCTCTCCCTCACTTCCAATTTATCTAAAATCAATAGAAAAGTATGCTTGAGTGAGGATTAATAACCACGACGACGATAAGAATAACAAGAGAAAATGACAGAAAACGTTCATAACTTGGTGAAAGAAAAGTCACACAAATCTAGAAAGTACAGAGAGTCCCAATGAAGATGAACACAAATACACTCACACTAAGACACATTATAATTAAAATAGTAAATGTTAAAGACAAAGAGAAAATCTTAAGGGCAGCAAGAGAGAGACAGTCAGTTGCCTACAAGGGAGCTCCCATAAGGCTGTCAGATGATTTCTCAACAGAAACTCTACAGGCCAGAAGGGACTGGCACGAAGTATTCAAAGTAATGAAAAGCAAGGGACTGAATCCAAGACTACTCTATCCAGCAAGACGATCATTCAGAATTGAAGATGAAATAAAGAGCTTCCCAACAAAAAACACTAAAGTAGCTTATGACCACCCTACCAGCACTGCAAGAAATGCTGAAAGGACTATAGTAAGAAGAAGAAGAAATAGAAAGAGAGGAACATAGTCATAAAGAATAAAGATGGCAATAAATAAGTACCTGTCACTAATAACTTTAAGTGTAAATGAATTAAATGCTCCAATCAAAAGACATAGGGTAACTGAATGGATAAGAAAACATGACCCATATACATGCTGTCTACAAGAGATCCACCTCAGAACAGAAGACTCACACAGAATGAAAGTAAAAGGATGGAAAAAAATTTTCATGCAAATGGAAACAGAAAAAAAGTGGGGGGTAATATTACTCATATCTGACAAAATATACTTCAAAACAAAGGCCATAAGAAGAGATAGAGAAGGTCACTATATAATACTAAAGGGATCGTTCCAACAAGAGGATGTAACCCTGGTAAACATATTTGCACCCAATACAGGAGAATCTAACTATATTAGAGAAACTCCTGGAGGCCCTGGCCAGTTGCTCAGTGGTTAGAGTGTTGGCCTGTGATTTGAAGGGTCGAGGGATCGATTCCCAGCCAAGGGCACATACAGGTTTGATTCCTGGCCCCTGTTGGGGTGTGAGTAACTAATCAATGTGTTTTTCTCTTTTTGATATTACTTTCTTTGCCCTTCTTCTCCCTCCCTTCCATTCTCTCTAAAAAGAATCAGTGGAGCCCAGCAGTTGAGCATTGACCTATGAACCAGGAGGTCACAGTTCAATTCCTAGACAGGATACATGCCTGGATTGCAGGCTCGATCCCTGGTAGGGGGAATGCAGGAGGTGGCTGATCAATGACTCTCTCATCATTGATGTTTCTAGCTCCCTTCCTTTCTGAAATTACTAAAAATATATTTAAAAATTAAAAATTAAAAGTCAATGAAAAACATATCCTTGGGTGAGGATTGAAAAAACAACACTCTCCTGGAGGATTTGAAAGGAGAGATAATGATCAGCAATGCACTTATAGTGGGGGCTTTAATACCCACTGACATCAATGAATAGGTCTTCCAGACAAAAATCAACAATGAAACAGTGACCTTAAAGCACACACTAGATTAGGTGGATGTAATTGACATTTACTAAACATTTTATCCCAAAACTGCAGAATATACATTCTTCTCAAGCGTACATGGGACATTCTCAAAGATATACATGTTAGGACAAAAAACAAGCATTTACAAGTTCAGGGAGGTAGAAATCATATCAAGCATCTTTTTGGATCATAACGGTATGAAACTAGAAATCAACTACAGTAAAAAAAGAAAAAACACCTGAAAAACATTCAGACACATGGGTGCTAAATAGCATGTTATTAAACAATGAATGGACTACCAATAAGATCAAAGGAGAAATATAAGCTTCC